TTTTAAGAGGAATCAACTCATGCAGAGTTAATTAAAAGAGATTATGAAATTCAAGGAATAGCTAAGAAGAAATAGAATTCCTATTTCTATTGTGAAAAGGAAAGAACACTTAAGGAGGGATTGTGATAAATTAACACTGTTATTTCAGTAGAAGATTTTAGTACAAGGAAATACAAGGAGCACAAACACTATATTAGTGATATCAAAACATAAGGGATATATCACATCAACATCAAGATATATATATATCTTATATTTTGGGACTGGATAGTTGAAAGACATCAAGCCATAGATTGTACTTCACGTACAGTATACACTTTCGAAGGCATGTTATTAGAAGATATTTATTTATTTATTCAATAAAAAAATTCAAGATTACATATGTAATGAATAATAAAATTCTAAATATAAACATACATATTTACTCATCTAAATAGTCCAAACTACTAATATCATCATCTTTCTCTACTGCTAAACCATTAATAATATTAATTTTTTTTTTCCGACATCTTTGTTATCACCCAAACTCAAATCATTATTGATCCAACTTTTTAGGCATAAGCAAGCTCTGATGGTTCTGGTTGAAGTTCTGTTCCAGTTTTTCGGATGGCATGTCCAGCCAAAGTTGCTTGAACAGATAAATAGTCTTTAGCTATTTGGCCAATGTTGGGAATCACCTCCAGTTAATGAATCCTTATCTTCTTTCAATAAGCAATGGATCAGTATTTGGTACTATCAGCAAAACGAATATGCCCATCGTTTGTTTATTATCACGCATGACAAGGAATTCTTGTACCGCGAGTTTCTTTTCTTTTGCTCGTTTATTATTCTGGTATTTAAATAAAAACAGTTATAAATAAATTACTCAAATGATAGCCATGCTCTGACAATACTTACTCATATTTTTCCTCTCATAACAACATTTTTTTAATCGATAAACGCGCGTAAAAAAAAATTATATTTATACGTGTTAGTGTTGTACAAATAAGACCCTATTTTTGGGACGTGAATTTTTGTAAAAAGCAATCGATGAAGAGCCCAAGACGAAGGGGCCAGGCATTCGTTGACAAATATACTAGAAGTATTTTTTTTTTGTAATCAAAACACAGAATAAAGATTTGCCATGTCTTCTAGGTAATTATTACAAGATTCTTTATCAAGATAATAAATGATTTGTTGGATTTGCTCCATCTCTAAAAATTATATAAATTATTATGCTCGGATTCAGTCATAATTTTTTCTCAATCCAAGTGAACTTTTTCAATCAATTTTCAAATTTATATAAGGTATCTTTTTATTCGCTCCATTCACATTAAAGCTTTTGAAAAAGTGTTAAATAATGGTCAAGTAAATTTGCTATTCGTAAAAGCAAACTCTGAAAATAAAGAAAAAAATAATGAAGGGCCCAAACAGGTAGCAGCTAGTACACAAAAGCGAAAAAATAAGGAAAAAATCGGACAAGAACGTGAAGATTTTTTGGTCCAAGTTGGTTACAAATTTACTTTTGGTTTGAAGAAAGTGGAGATAGTAGTGGAAAGGTGGTGACAATGTTTTGCGGCTGGAGTAAAGATGCAAAAAAGAAAAATATTTTTACAACGGTACACAATCATATCGAAAGCAAACACTTGAACGGGCATATATACAGTATATTGATGATAATAAAACTGCTACAATAGCTCATTTATATAATTGTTTTATATGTAAGATTACTGACCGCACATTAGTTTGCTAATAACGTGCAGTCAGCGCACCTTAATCCGATAGCAATGTGCTAGCACCGCACGTAATTTGAGCTAAAATTTTAGACGCTAATTATACCCTGAATCCAATAGTGTTATTCAATTTATACACGTTAATTAATAAAACCTTTGAATAATATATTTGGCAGGATGAGATGGAAAAGATAAACTTTATTCAAAGTTCGTTGTATTTATTAACCTGAATGGGATCAGGAAATAATGAAGCTCCCTATTTTTACCAGCAAATATTGTAGCGAAATGCAAAGCAATATGACCGACGGTAATTATATTCTTTGAGGGATAATATTTAATACAAGGGAAGAATAAAAACCCTCTTAAAGTGAGGGACTTGCGAAAAATAATAGAAGAGTAGATCCGAGACGATTTTACACGTCGTGTTATATTGGTAATACGATTGTGGAACTTGGCAAGTTGAACCCCGAAATCTTTATTATTATTATTATTATTGTTCACTTTGTCGCAGTCTGCATATGAAAATCAAATCAAAAATCTCAATTTTTATATTTTAAAGTTTTTAATAAATAAAAATTGATGAAATAATGTCAGATATAAAAAAACGATTAGTATTTTCTATTTTACAATTTTTGCAACAATGCATCAATGACCACACTATTAAAGAAGAGGATACAGAAAGCGTCGAAGTTGCAGGTTTTTAAAAAGTTGATGAATAAATAAATTATAAATTTTTTTTTTTGAATGTAATGAAATTTAAAATTTTTTTTAATAACAGTTCAATGCATTGGAGAGGCTTTCGGAGTTAAGTTAGATGATCCGGAAGATAAAGCAATTTATTCAACAATACCTCCATTATTGTCTATTTTCGAAGTTGCTGTTAAAGCACAAGAGCGAAGGTCTTCTAAACAAGTATATAAAATATTAAAAAAAAAAAAGTTTTTAAAGTATTTAATAAATAACAAATTAATTAATAAATAGTAAATATTAACATACTTGTTATCAATTTTTATCTTTAGAACATCAAACCACCTTCTAAATCTGGTATGAAAACCATTACTTCTAATAATGACCCAACTGATTTATTAATAACGTTAATAATTAAATAACAACAGCTTTTTTTTATGTTTGTCTGACTATCTAATTATAGAAGTTAAGGTATAGTCAGCTATACTATTATCATCACTATTATTCTATCAATGAAACTATTATACATGACAACTAATTTTATGTGATTATAGGTGGAATTGACCGAGGAACAAAGAAAAAAAGCTGAAGAATTAAAAGCAGAAGGTAATTAATCACAAAAACAAAAAAGAAAAATTTGATTTTTTTGTTGTTGCCAAGATTAAGAAATTTAATTACTAATAATATTAATGATTATGAATTAAAGGTAATCGTAAAGTGGCAGAGAAAGATTATGAGGCTGCTGTTAAATTGTATCAACAGGCAATTGATATCAATGGAAACAATGCAGTATATTATTCTAATAGGTAAAATATATAAATAATACGACTTTATAATATTTACATGCATTGATTTACTAATACATATTGATTTCATATGATAATAAACAGAGCTGCTGCTTATGCTCAATTGGGGAAACATAATAAAGCCATTGATGATGCTTTGAGATCAACACAAATAGATCCTTCTTACAGTAAGGCATATAGTAGACTTGGGTAACAAATAAATAAATAATCACGCCTATGTTTGCATATAGTTAGATTTTGCGAAAAAGTTATTATCATTATAATAATCCTTTATTTGTTTTAGTCATGCTTATTTGGCTGTAGGAAAATTTGATGATGCAATCGAGGCATATGAGAAAGGACTTTCTCTTGATCCCAGAAATGCTACAATGAAATCGGGCCTTGCAACAGCTCAACAAAAATCGAATGAGATTAATGATCAAACCGGTTCAAGAGGAACAAAACCAAACAGTAACTCCAGTTTACCCAATGCAGGTGGTTTGGGAGGTTTGGGAGGTTTGGGTGGATTGGCAGAACTAGCAGCCAATCTTGGTGTAGGTGGTGGTGGTGGCGGCGGTGGTGGCGCTGGCGGCGGCGGCGGTTTTGATTTTGCTTCGTTAATGAGTAACCCAGCCTTTATGAACGCAGCACAACAAATGATGCAATCAGGAGCATTGAATGATATTTTAAGTAATCCTAATGTTGCTGAAATGTAAATTAATATTTTATCATTTTATCATTATCATCATCATCATCATAGAAATTTATTGGTTTTTTTATTTATTTATTAGGGCAAATAATATGATGAGAAATAATCAAGAACCATCTGAATCGTATGTTATATTTTATCGAGTGAATTCTATTACCCATTTACTTGTTTATTTGATTATTAATTTACTTGTTTACTTAAAAACGCATATAGGAATCAAAAAGATATTACCGATAAAAATGATGATAATAATACTTAATATAAAAGAAAATTATCTTATTTTATATTTTTTTGTAATTATTTATAAATGTGCATTTTTAAAATAGTAATAATATAATTTTTTAAGATTATATATTTTTCTTTATTTTATATTATTATTATTTTATTAATATAATTAAATTAATTAAATTAATAAAAAAATTATTAATAAATACATGGTTGATTAACTTTTATCTTTCTATTTTTAAAATCTTGAAAGATGGCGCACTTCTTTGTAAACAAATATTCCAAGCACAATTTTTCAAGACTTCAATAATTCAAATAAACGAATAATTCGAATAAAATGAATACGCAAAATTTAAATTATAAAATATTGAGGCTCGTTTGACACCAAAAAAATAAATTTAACAACCTCCACCTTCTTTCACCTTTTTCGTTCTTAAAATTTTTCACCTTCTTCATATCATTCATATCCTTCATATTCCTCATATTCCTCATATTCTTCATATCCGTCATATTCTCCACATTCTTCAATTGCTCTATAATGATTGCACCATGTTTCATGATAATGATTTCCATTAGCGAGAATATCATCATAATCTGCAAGACATCTAATAATAAATTATTATTATTAATTAAATCAACAATAGATCAATCATTAAATAAAACTCCAATTATTATTACTATACTTACAACCAACAGAATTCATGTTTGCATTCAAGAACTTTACATGTCAAAAAGTAAAAAATAATAAAAACGTACCTGTGAAATTACATGTTTGATTTGCCATATTTCTAAAGTAAACCTTGGTAAAAAAATCCACATTATCAACATCTTTCCATCCATGTTTAATATGGCATCGATCCCTTCTATATATGTGAATCTCTTTATTTTCTGGGTCTATTAACCACCCTAATTGTACAGAAGTCCCCTCTGCAAAGTATACATCCTTGAATTTTCTATCAAGTTCCTCAAACTTTGAATGACTTGAAATGTTTCTAACTTCAATAATAATGTAGGGGTGAAAGGATCACCTTTAAAACTCCAATTCTGTTGTGCATCCAATTGACAATCTATTTCTTTAGATGTATAAGAAATATCTGGCGCTCTGATTGTTTTACCACCTCAAAACATCAAAATTGAATCCTCCCTGTGACAAGGTAACACCCCCATTTTGCCATGTCCAGATATTCCAATTACGAAGTTGTGCAACAATCTCAGCGACAACTTTTTCTCCAGAATAGGGTGATCATGGCATAGGGATAAGCTTGCCATTTATTTACTCTCATCTCAACATACCATTTTTAAAACACCAATTTCTTGCAAATTGCAAACACTATCAAAAGCAACATCAAACTAACATAGATGTATAATAAGTTAGAAATAGCTGATGAACCAAAAAGAAAATAATATATATAACCATATGGTCATCAGAATAATACAAAACCATCACCTGGTACAGCCTGGCTACACAAATGAGACTTTGTGTGGTACTATATTAACCACATAGAAACAAAACATTTATCTATAGCATAAATACCCTCCACACCACCCAGGATAATCCCTTTAGCAGGCTAATAGGAAATTTAAACTACTATGTTTGCTTCCTCAGAATGGTATCACTATTCGAGCTACTCATCATTTGATATTATAATACTTTTCAAGATGAAAAAAAAATAATTCACCTGTAGCATTATTTGAGTAATCTTCCCATATCATAAAAAATCTTCCTCGTATACATTTACAGCTCTCTCTACAATACCCTTAGTTCGTCCTTGTTAATCCATGGATTATCTTCAAACCATTGATAAATAACTGAGGCCACCATAATTCATTCAGTTTTTAAGTTGTTAAATATTAAAAAAAAGAGAATCACTAGTTTATATATAAGCAAAGGATTAGCACAAAAGAATTTTAAATCATGCACAAACATAACAGCTTTTTATTGTATATCTATATTTAATAAAACAAACACAACTTAACTATTTAATCATTTCCTTGTATGTGAATGCCTCCATCCATCAAATATTTATGATTATTATTCAATACATTTGATGTTATAATTGTCATAACAAACAATTGTATCACCCAAGTAACAATAATACCAAGGCCATGCATAAATACAACTTTTAACAATGCATGTCTACCCAGATTCCTTGAATTCACAAAATAAATTATTTTTCCTGATTATCAATTATGGTTCCTTATGAATAATAAATCTGATGTTGATCATAGGCATCAGATTTAATTAAAGTTTTCATGCACAAAAATGCATGACAGTGCAATTAAATACAATTCAGCACCATGGAATTTTTTCCCACAGGTGAAACAGACCTGCAAGTTGGAAGGCTCTAGACAAAATTTTCCTTATCTCCCTCTCAGACCAGGCTTGACTGTTATAAAATGGGCATTGATTGCTGATAACTGGTGCTTGTGTGATGATTGCTTTGTGTTATACTTCTCTAGAAGTAAAGTTATAATAAGATGAGCATCTGCAACTCAAGAAATTGCTGTTTTGGATTTTCCCTGAATTCGGAGTTTTGAGTCCTGGGTTGTTGTCTTGTCAATGGCCAATGGTATCCTACTCACCAACAACTCTACCCCATTTAAATAACAAGTTCAGTTGGTCAAATAAAAATTAAAGAGAAACAGAAAATTTGGGAAAATGATTAACTTATACAACATACCAAACACAATCCGAACCATTTTACTTTACAAATTCTCTCCTAATACCAGAACCTAAATGCGATTTCAGGGTTAACCAGCCCCACTCTGAATTGCAACTTCCTGTGCTTGAAACGAGTTGCAGATTCTTGTTGCTTTGATAGATCTGGATGTTTACATGGCACTACAATTCATCTACAGAGTTGCATAATTGCGACTTGGTCACAGATCCATCCTTACCCTAGAAGTAGGATCGTTGCAGGTGACTTTTCATCTAACATGGCGGCTTTCTCTGGTCTGGGAAGATTAATGAAAGTGTCATTGATGATTGATGCAGCTTTGATGCATTCCAGGGCGATGCGCCTCCCCTCTAGAATTCTGTTGCATCGTATCCATAGGGCGTGACCGGTCAGATTAGCGAATGACTGTAAAATGTTCAAGGTAGCGTGCATGCTTCAATATCTGCTAATTTCCGATAATCAAACATCGTATATTTGAATTGTTTCTTTTTCAACATTATACTGCCTTGAAATTATTTAATAATAAATATTATTATTATTAACAACGATTACGTAAAGCAAAATATCAATCGTTCATTTGTTATCATCTTGATAAGGATCTTATAATCACCCAGCAAGATCTGTTCCGCGTTTTGATTCCAATTAAAATATTTATAAACTAAAAAAAAACATGTCAATGCAAAAAAATATCTTTGACATTAACACTTCTTCTTTAGGAGGACCGTGTTTTGTCTGTCAAAAAATGATTGTTTTTCCAAAAAAAAAGTCACGCGTCAACAAAAAAAAAAGTGCATAAATAATTAATGTGCACGCGTTTGTCGATCAAAATAATAAAATTCTAATTCTTCAAAAATGCCTAATAAGAGTAATGATAAGAGAAAACAAACGAATAGTCGTGGTACTGTTGTTGTTGGGTAAGTGTTTATTGTAAGAATGGTGGTGGTTATCGCCACTGGTCGTCACTCTAGTTTATCTATAAAATCTGCAAATTAATAAAAAAAAATTTTTCTTGTTCCTATTATTTGATTTTGCAAAAATATTTGGTCACAGTCCATCCTCCTCATTAACATATGGTCATGAAAAACCACCAATCATAGTTGGTTTAATATTGGCCAGAAATGATCGTGAAATCACAGTATTTGGACCCGAAGGAGTACCAATCACAGTTCCCGAGCCTTATGAAACTTACAAAAGACCAATCGGAGGACTTTCATTTAAAGATGAAATTCCAGAATTGGCTCAAGCAGATACTAGCATGGAAGGTGACGCTATTGAACCAAGATTGATTGTACCATCAACTAGTGGAAGAGATAGAACAGCTGGTGTAGTTTTAGCTTGGTATGACAACTGGGTCTTGGTAGCACGTTCTGATGATATTGTAGTAATCAAAAAAATATCCGACGGATTGTATAAGAAGGTACTTGAAGAAACTAAATATTTAAATCTTGATGAACTTCCCGAAGCGCATGAAGTTGCTCCTGATGAATATGAGGTTACTCCTGGTGAATATGAAAACTATAAAATAGAACTTGCTAAATACATAGACTACATACGAGAGAAGTATTCTATAATTCATAATCCAAAAAGAAGTGCCTTTAAAGAACATGAACCGATTGGTAGAGCTGTTAACGGACTACAAACATTTTGGTCTTTAAAAGGAATATATCAATTGAATATGAACTGTGAAAAAATCATCAAAAGATTTAAAATTGAGTACAAAAAATATTTGGAAGCTTCACGTAAATGGAAATTAGAATTGGCGCATAAAGAATATTTTGAAGAATCTCAAAGAAATAAACAAAAATTCAAAGAAAGGAGACACACTCTGGATGATTTTAAGACAGCCACAAACAAATCAATGGATAAATCCAAATTGGATAAAAATATGCAACTCTTTAGGCAATTTGATTGGTCCAAATGTGATGTGGATTTTAAGGCATTACCAATATTACATTACAAAAAATACAAAGAAAAAGAAGATCAAATCTTTTTTGATGATAATAAAAGGCAAATCGCTTTAAATAGGAACAATTTCATCTCTGAACGTCTCCAAAAAAAATTACTATCACAAAAAAAAAAAACCTAAAAAATTAATTCAAAAATCAAATCAAAAAATTTAACATGTTTATTTTTTTTATAATAAAATAATAATGACAATTTGCTAGTATATAAATGCAATTCATCTGATCCTACATAATTAAAAATACATTATTTATTACCTTCACTTTCCTACATAAATATTTGATAACAATAGTATGTATGATATTATTAAAGCTTATATTTAAGAATAGGGTAGGATTAGACCTAAAAAGGCTATTAAGGACCCCAAATTTTGAAAAGACTGGTCCTTAAAAAAGGTAATAGTGTAACATATTAATATGCTATTTAAAAAATTCATGAATAATAAAGAATCCCTCCTTTATTAATTATGAATTTTTTGATACTACGATTTGCAAATTGTTTGTAGACAAGTTAAACAACAACAATAATAATGTAATAAATGTGGATGATTCAATTTCCAATATTTTTGAAAGCTTAGAATCATCATCAACCGATGATTTTATTTCTAACAATAATATAAATCGTGTATCTTTTTTAATATTTATTGAATGCGTATAAATGCAGATTTATCCATAAAAAGATTTTTTAACTATAGTGCAGGTCACTTAGTCGCTGAACTTTTTGTGCTACACCGCCATTTTTTGAGAAAAAAATTTCCAATCAAAAATGCAATAAAA